TTTTATTTTTTTATGGTATTTTTTAAAAAAACAAAAATTTTGGTGCTGTTTTTGGAATATAAAATGTTTTTATATTATTTTTTAAACAAAATTTCAATATGTGATATTTTTATGAATTGTTTTTCTTTATATATAAGAATGTCTCTTACTACCCATTTAGTTATTTTCCAATATGGAGGCGTACACATGTGGGTGATCGAGCATACTGAGTCTAACTACCAAAAACAAAATAGTTAAAAATAGAGTCAAATGTTACTATTTACTACTGAATTATGTTAATTTTATATCAAATTATTTATATACCAAGTTGATTGCCAAAAAAATAGTGCATCAATTTGCAATGATTTTTAATTAATTAACAAATTTATATGAATTTTTATATGAATTCCATTGTTTTTTATTCATCAAATATATAAAATATAAAATATGCTAAAGTTGATGGTCTTTTTGGAGTATTATAGCTTTTTAATAGATCATGTGAAAAACGTGTTAAAAAGCAATTAGTTGTAAAATTATATTTTTGCAAGAAAACAAATAGTTAGAGAAGAGAGAGAATGGAGAATCGCTAGTTCTCTTACTATGTAACCTGGTTCAGAGAATGTATTCGCTCTGTTTGTTTCAGTAATTTTGTGTCTGAAAAGACAAATATCACTTTCTTTTTTGCTTGTAGTACCTTTTGGGGTATATGGATCTAATGGATTTTATATGTTCTTTCTCTCCATCTCGCCTTTGGGATCAATCTCTCTTCTCTATCTCTAAACTTCAAGCCTCATCAACTAAAAAGGTAAACTCACAAATTGGCTTTGGCAAGCCACGATCTACAAGATCTGGTCGGAGCATACCATAGACTACACTGACGCAATTCTTCTCTTTATAATTATACCAGCTAGTGAACGTAGTGTTAAGACAAAGGTACAAAACCTCTGTCGTAGAAAGCGATGACGAGACTTAAGCACACTTTGGATTCGGTAACACAACCAAAATCTAACTCAACTCTATTGTAACTTTGTTTTTCTTTTTTTTGCCACCAAAGTTATAATGATTATAGGCAATGCAAAATGCATTCCTAAATTTTTTATGATATATGATATTTACTATTTAAAAAAAACAAAAAACAATAAACGACATGATATTGTCGAATGGATCACAAATCTCCAGGACATTATAAATTTAATGGAGGCATTGGTAAAAATTTTATGGACGTAATTCTGTTGTGATTTTTCGCACGTGCAATTATCTATTCTATAATCTATACAATAAATAAAATCGTGTATAAAATTTGACCGTTGACTTTTGTAGATATTACCCGCCATCCAGCCGACCAATCCTACGTGGCAGTCCTTACCTCCACCCGA